GCGCGCCGCGTGCGTGTGTGCGTACGTGTGTATATGTAATGTAATTTATATATAGATATATAGGTAATTCAAATTTTTTTTCAAATGCGATAGCACCCCCTGGATATCATCAACGCCCCCAATTGCTTCCGAGGACTCTTCAGCGCCAACTTGGAAATTCTTTGGGAACCTATGTTTATGATGTTAGTTATAATACGGCACTAAGATGCGAAAACACCATACGTACCATACGTCACAGCGCAGAAGTAGAAATCAAATCACAATAAAATACTTACCCTTAGAGCAACATCAGCGAAAACAACAACAGGTCTTCTCATAACATGGGCCAGTGCAAACACATGTAACTGTTCCAAGCCTACATAATGCGGGGCAGCGTTTTCCTGTGGCCTAGGTCGCGGCTCAGCGGAAGCAGCTCTTACGGCATCTTCCCAATCCCGTTCCCATTCTGCTTCAGATGGTGTGAGACCGGCTGACCGTAGGGATATGCTTTCAGACCAGCGCCAACGACGTTTTATAGCTCCTATAAAACCATATGTAATTGTATAATGAAAATAATAACATGCTTCGTGCCCCTTTCGTTCTTCCCTTAGCTCGTTTACATTTTTTTTTTCATCAGTTGTTTTTATACGCAAATTTCTGTTTTACTATAAGGATCTTGCTATCTGACTAGCAGTCGTTCAATTTAAAGCCATTTCAGAAGAGCAATATTTTCCGACGTGACATAAAATATAGATATATTACATCATCAATGAATGAATGAATGAATGAATTACTTACTGGTCAACACATCGCCACCTTCTCCGCATAACAGAGCCTGCACTTTAGTTCTTAATGCGAGCAGTCTATCATGAAATCCATAAGCTGCAAGTGACGCTGCATGAGGCAGGCAGTTTCCATCTCCTGAAGTAGCCAATGGCAGTAATCTCGGTGCCCCAGGCACCCGACCGTGACGCCACCAGTTTAATATGCTAGCCGACTCGAGGGTCACTAGAGTTGCTGTCTCCAGAAGATCCTTTTCGATGAATGTTCTGCAATATCAAAATGATATCTATAAATTGTTCTTACTGACAATATTTTCATTTACTCTTCATTATCTAATGAATCACTAGTTAATGAAGAATAAAACGATTTTAAAACATATTCATTGCATTTAAACTACATATTTAGTTATTTTCAGATTCACAAGTTTCTTGAGCATTTGAGCGTTTTCAGATATCACAAGTTCTTTTTCCATGATTGAACAATAAATAACGTATAACACGTGATTGAATTTCCCCCTAACAATAAAATATTTACTAAGGAGAATTGAAGTACAGGTATGATTATAGATACTATATAGATGTTGCATCAAGTTGTTTCTGGAATGAAGCACGAACCACACCTTACCATTGTTATTGCAAGGTCGTTTCCCTTTGCACAATATTCATGAGATAAAACAACATTTGTTTGGCAAAAATAATAAAGCCGGAAATTTGAAATTCATGCTTTAAAACCATAAAATGACGGGTAAACAATAACACAAAAGTTCATCGTACAAACGGTCGCATTGCGTGCGACTAATGCGAGTTGGCAGTGAGCCACGGTGCCTACATAGCGAGTAAAAAAATACGTTTAGGCAGTCGCACCTAAGGTATAGAATTAAGCTATAGGAATTATACATCGCGCATGGAGGATCACTGTGACGTATCAAGTGTTGAAGTCGATAATTTTTCAGTAAGGTTCAGAAGAAGATTAAGATTTGAAAACGGCTGTACAGTCAAGAAAACGATGGTGCGTCAACTCGTGCGTATAACATCCAACTTTCTTTTTTTTATGATACCAAGACACGGGACGAATAACTCATGCGCCTGATGGTAAACGATACGCTTATCCATAACAGTTGCAATGCAGCTCAGAGTTTTATTGCAAAGATCTGAGGGCAACTGCGCCAGCACCCTGAGACATAAGTTGTAGGGTCGTATTCTAGAACTCTACTCAATGCTCAAGTCAGGATTTGAGTATGGTTTATGTGTCTATAATTTCACCAGCACCCTACCCTTCTAAACCGAAACGCAATAATGGTCACATTACTTCTTGGCGGCAGAAATAGGTAAGGTACGTCACTGGCCGAACTCTTTCAGGAGGAGCTCTACTTTTACTTGATCGAGACGGAACCAAGTATTTTTATTAAATTACGAGCCCTGTGCCCCCTATGGTGGGATCGGGCTCGGCCTGCAGCGCGTGGTCGGGATCAGATTACGGGGTGTGCTTATGCTCTTTGGTGGCACAGCGATTAGTACTATATATTGATGAGGAGGTTCCAGATTCAATTCCCGATTTGTGCCAATTTATGAAACAAACATTATTTAGTTGATTCTGGTCAGAGTATTCTGGGTATTGCCCTCAGAGTTATCGTTACTCTGGTATACTCATAGTACAGGAAATTCCGTAGTTTGAGAGCAGAAATTTGGTGTGATTGTCTGGATTTTTTTCCCTAAATACTCTTTGACGAATCAGAGCAAGTCTGTTTCGGCAGCCATTTTTAACGAAAAAAAAACGCTTGTATGGCAGCCATATTAAAAAATGGCGAAAAGAAACATTTCACCCCAAATTATGATTAAGGGCTCCTAAAGACCCCCGCGTGCCAATTCTATCTCTAATAGTCCCAGTGATAGAAGACTTTGAAATTTGTATGGCGGCCATCATGTTTATTTGAATTTCGAACATATTTTAATCCAGGCGGAAATTGTCCAAGGTGTACCTCATAAAAGTGCACAAATGCAAGTGAATAATAATAACTTTCAATGTTATTTTTGTTGAAGACACCACAAGCTGATTATATGATAATGCATTTTGCATTTGCTAGATCAATGGTAGCCCAACAGTTATATCACCTTCATTCGAATAGCTTAAAAATATTACCTGAAATCAGGAGGGTAGACAGATATATCAGGCAGCAACAGTATGTGGTCAGAGCTGAGTGTATTAAGCTCGGGTTCAGTGTTACTTCGCAAAGCCCACACTAGGCCTTCGTTATCTGTCGCACGCGATATGCCACGGGATAATTTGCGACCTGTTAAAAAAATTAAATAATAATTAATTATTTTACATTGGGAAAGCCAATGAGTGCATCTGATACCGTAGTGTGTAGATTATACTTATTCAGATGAGAAAAATACACAATCGAGTAAAAGGGTTGTGACAAATAGACTGAGTCCTTTCTAGTTGACCACTTTCAATTTAAGTTGTTTGTATCTCTCCGTTATTCCTCAAGAAAAATAACAAGAGCAAAAGGTTTGAAAATTTAAAATGGTTGTAGTTGACCTATATCGTTGCAAATAATCCTAAACTGGATAATGGTTTGTCAACAAGTACTATTCAATCGTTATCCATTAAAACGGTAGTTAGGTTACCAGAAATATTTTACAGAAGTAAAATGACACCATAAAGATTTCATTAGGATGCTAAGTTTGTACCATGACGTATTCTTGGACACGTCAGTTCATGACTGCAGTGTGTTTACCATTCACGTCTCGTGACGTCAAGGGAGTGGAAATTATATTTTAAAGCCACCTCAGAAGTAAACAAGCGTTTGACAACTTGTCTTGTTAAAGACGGCTAATTTTAGGGGATCGTAGGGTATGCCACCCTCTATTTTGTAACTCCTTTTTTTGAACGAAGTATATAAGCTGTAATAAACATTTTTTTTAATAATATCAATATTACTATGGTTCAAGGGGAAAAATGTAAATGTGTTTATAACAAATTTAAAAAAACGAGGACTGGTGTTTTTGTCTGTAATTTCGTTTCACAGATTATTATTGTACGTGTGATAGGAATACGTACGTTTCTATAGGATTAAACGGATTCAGTAATAGGGCAAGGAACTCTAATAAAACCGGTCAATTACCTTTCAGGATGCGGATATAATCAAAGCTAAAATTAATACAAAACTCTTACATTCAGGTGCAGGTGTAAGGACCAAATTAGAAGGTGCGGAATACGCCATATTCAGGTCCAGAGCACTAACGGATCTCTCAGGAGCCATGACGTCACCACCGGCCCGAGGCCTCAGTGTTGAGCTGTGTACTCTATCTATAAAAAAAGAAAGATGGAATTAACCTACATGCCAATATTTTGCTCGTAACATCTGAATCATGCCGTTCGTTTTAGCAGATGGTATTTTTGTGACACCCAAAAATAATCTTGTAAGAAGAGACATCTGGAAACTTTTCTTTGTTACGGAAGATGTTTCGAGTCTTTCAAGTCTGGATAACTGTAGGTGTAACGTATACGTACAAAGCAAGTATGTGAACTTATTCATGCTGACATGTTGCCGGAGGTGTTGCCCGACGGCTTACATTCAAACGCAGGGAAGTGGAAACGAAGGCCGTGGATTAGAGCCCAGCAAGTACTTTCGGTTGTTTATATCGACATAGGTAATAATTACACAGCACATAAACGTAAAATAGATATGAACAACGCAGTATGTTTTGTCACCAAGCCAAATGCTTGTGTTGCCAATTTGATTTATTATGTATGATGCATCTATAAAATTTTGGCTGCATTTACTTGCTGCATCTCCTAGTTTGCTGCGAAGTGTGGGAGTTAACCAGAATTACAATCCTACGGCTACGCCAAACAAAGTTCCAGAAGTCAGGCATGAAGATCATTGGAAGATGGAATAATTCATTTTATTCGCAAAAAAATTACGTTAGAATGATTAGGTACATCCAGAGATGGGTAGTGGGTTAAAACCCGATTAACCCGCCAGGATTTTAACCGGGTTTTTACCCAAAGCCCAAAATGGTAGGCGGAAACGGTAGAATACGAAGTGTGGTGTAATTCCATATACTTATTACAAATTTCGATATAAAAAATCTTTTTTAAAGGAAAAAGAGGCAACTCTAAACAATACTCACGTAGCAATCCTGTGAATTCTTACTACTAAGGATGCACATTACGATTAGATTTTTATGAAAATCGATTCAAGCTCATTCGACCTAACGATTTCTTAATCGATTTATTTCAATGCGATTTTCAAGCGAATCGATTCAATGGAAAGGCAAATCGAATCGTCTAGATAAAAAAGCAATAAACATTTTGTAATATCATTAAATTTGAACAAAATCGATTTACTACAAATATTTAGTTGTAAATAGTTTTTGCCGTCGATTTCGGGCGTTAATACCTTAACCCGACATAAAGCCGGCGTTAAAACCCGAGCGCTTGTCTATCTCTGGGCACATCATATAAAAAAATATATGTTCAAAACGTGGATCGACTATTTGTAATCGTTATCGTCTCTATGTATCAAACCTACTACTGAACCTAACTAACGTCACAGTTGCGCTAGACAGACATACGTAAGCAACACGAAAAGCGTTTCAAGCGATTGTTCTTCCTACGACTTCCTAACGCGAAGTGTGTCACAGAACAATGGTTTGGCCGCGAACCTTTTTTACTTTGGACACGGTGTTTGTGCCAAAATACCAACAATAATAATCAGTCGTATACTGCATTTTATGTGGCAAGGAGTGTAAATTGTTAATACTTCATTTGGGACTCGTTTAGGAATGTAATGTTTCGGAATGAGCATAAAAGGCCAATTTAGCATAGCATTAGCGTTAGCATTATTACTTATTTAGGGCTGTCCTTACATAAAACCCCCATGAAAGTCCTTAATATTAAAGTCATATAATACTAATAAGATAAGATGTATTACAATGTTTATATTATTTTATCCTTATCATTGATCCTATCGATTAGTTTAATGAACATAAAGCCTTTAACGGGTTTTTGAAAGGAGTCTTATTGATAAGTATAGATTAAGTATTCTGTGCATTTTGAATAAATAAATTTAAAAAAATAGTGAGTATATATTTTTTGCATTTTTAGTTGATTCGATTCCCGGCTCAAGTAAAGTTTAAGAAAAATCTGCGAATGACGTTATTCATATTAAGAAAAATAAAAGAATGTGTTGTTCATTTAAGTAGAAGTTTAAGCAAGTAATTAGTTTGTTCCAACCTTTTACTATTGAGACTAAAGAGGAGATTTCTATGCGAGAATAGCAGTGTCTCGCGCTGTATGTCGTGTCGCTCTCGCGCAAGTCGCGTCCTGTTGTGCTGGTCCTATTATACTATCAAACCACATAATATGCAGAAGCGAGAGCGCATGGACAGCCTTACTCACACTACTCTAGAATTCTATAATGATTTTAAAGAGTTTGACGTAGGAATATCAAAATATGACCAATTATCAATAGCGGAACTTCCAATGCGATGTTCGCATTCGATTGCCGACTAAAAAGGAATTATGAACGTTCATATACAACATGTTTGATCAGGCGTAACAGCAAAAAGATATTTCCTAGTTTTGATACGCGAATGTTTTTAACTCTACGTTTTGTTGAATCCATTCAGTGTCCTATATTGTTTGGCGGACACGGACGACTGTACTACTTTTTAGACTTACTCGGCATGATGGTCAACTTTGGTTGAAAACAATGAGATATACAATAGGAACAGAGAATAGACGCGATGAAGCGAAACACAGGATGTTGATTGACAATACCAATGGATTACAAAATATTGGCTTACTACGGAGCAATGTACGTTAACATGAAAATTAATTTGCGTGGAATGTTAAATTGAAACACGTTTTTTTCGCTATTAGTGATTTCATTCTTTAGGTACCCTCTAAGGAAATTAAGCTGTAGTACATTACGCTGTCTCATTGGACACTTTACATATTATTTGTTGGTGAAGCTGGTCCGACATGAATGTTTCATTATAATTTGTGTTTTACACCGTCAAAACAATCAATAGTATTAATAATTATTAGACTATTAACTCTAAATTTCGTCCAAAGATAGAACCTAAAACCTAAAAAAACTAAAACCGTCTGATTACCATACACACGATACAGACAAAAAATCCATTAATATATTGGTGGTATACGAAACGGTATCAAACAGTAAGGGGCTATCAAACAAACAATACGTGCATGAAAACAATACAAGCACGGTATTTTGCACATACAATCTACTGTGTCAAATATCGGACTGAATAGCTACAGCCCGTGTGTCAGTTGATAATTTAATTCGTACAAAAAGCCTTTTGAATCACGTTGTCATGTTGGCGATAACGTAGTAATGGTGTAGCAAATAAATATTAACGGATTTTTTTTCACATGGTAATAGTATATAGAGGCAGTAAACTGTCGAAAAACGTAAAATATGAACTGCGTTTTGTATAGGTACTACACACAGGCAGATTTAGTAGAACACTTGTAAAATTTCCAAAATAATGCCTGAGTTTTCAAAAGCCAGGTGTCATTTTACTGTTTTATTTTGGGTCCAATTCAAAGTTAAATTTCATCGACTGTCATTTTACTCATTTATTTGTTTTACTTTCCTACTAATACAGGCTTGTTTGTGGAGTGGTTCGGTTTAATTTCGATTTCTCGTAAAATTCGTAAACTTTTAAATTTTTATTCAATTTTTTTGAGAAATTTTTGTTATAATTACTAATACAAAAATCGAATACTTTGAAAAAATTCCTTCGATCCGGCCGGATTCGAACCGACGTCTCCAGGCAAACCATGCCAGACGCTATGCCAACTAAGCCACGGAACAAACCAGCGGACTTCACGAATTTTCACGGCTAAAAAGTCGTTGAAAACCAAACACAAAGATCCGACAACAAACACATAGAAGAATTCATGGATCGAAGGAATGTTTCTGAGAGTTCGAGTTCGATCTTTGTATTAATAATTATAACAAACTAGTGGAGTAATTTCACATAAATAATAATTGAATATCAATTCAATAAAATTAAACTTTCAATTCAATAAAAATTTAAACAAAAAAGTAATTCAGTTTTTTTATAACACCAATAGGTCATCATCATCGTCACCTTATTTTACGCCCCGCTGCTGGGACGGGTCACTTCTAAGAGCGATTACACACGGTGATTTTCAGCAACGCATCTGAAGCGATTCAATCGCGACGCAGGCGCTAATCGTCTCCCTTTACACATACGCGCGACTTAAGCAGCTCTACATTCGCTATGCAACCGCCTATAAATCGAGTGTCGCGATGCAATCGCACGTTCGTATCGTTGCTAAAAGTTGCCTGTAAAATCGCTCTAAGGAAAGAGTATTTGCTGTAAGTAAGGTTACCATCCGTCAGGATTTATTCAAACACGTCACGCTTTTTGTTCTTCTGTCCGAATTTTCTACTGTTTCGATGTAAAATATACACCTGGCAATTATGTAGTATAAGTTTATTTACGATAAAAACTTGAGTGTTCTGCGCTTGCTACGCTTTTACATCAAATTTTTTGTCCAGACTATTAAAATTTGAGAATAGTAAACCTTGGCTATAACCACGCTGGCCCAGGTTTCATCACGATGTTTCCCTTTACCTAAAAAGTTATGGAAACTTGCCGCCGCCACAGAGATTCAAACGGTCGACTTCTCATTATTCCCAATTTAAAGCAAAAGCACCCGTTCTTCCACTAGGCTAGCAGCCACTGATTCAGTATAGTTAAAATTTGAAATCATATGTTGACTGCTTCTATTTTCAAATATGACGCGTGCAATAAATTATATAGGTTTCTTTTTTAAGTGTTCTAGAATGACAACAATAAATTGCAAAAATTATGTGTTACCGCTACATCGCTCTAATTAATTACCTAGGAAAATAGTACGCACCTTGAAGACTTATGACTGTTCATTCATTATTTTAACAGTATCATTATAAGTGAATGTTATAATTTCTAGAACATTTTATATAGTTGCGTTGCGTGTCAAAAAAAGCGCCAACGAACTCTATAAACGAAAAATGTTTAAGTCAATACGTGGCCATGACATTACGGCGAACTGTGAATTAAGACTTTTGGTTCATTGTCTTATTTTATCGATTTATGTTTTCAATTGTAATCTATTGTACTTCGTTGAAATCCTTGCTATTATCTGTGCTGCCTTCTTTTTTTAAGAGAATGCTTAAAGAGCTTCTTAAGAGCAATGGCTCTTGTCTATGAAGCTCTTCCCAAACTTCTCTGTAATAAGCCCTTTTCCAGACCTCTTTGTGC